TCGTCGCTTTATAGTTTGGAGACGATGAAGAAAGATTATAGACTGAAGAAGCAAAGGGTTCATGCTTCTTTATGGGTTAAAGAGATTGAGAAATTGGAAGAAGCTAAGTTGGGAGATTCAGGATCTGGTGGTGGAGCTGATGATATCGACAGGCTTCTCGATAGTTGCTCAGAGTAATGATTCTCTCTCTCTTTAAATTTTTTTAATTAGGGTTTGTGATTTAGCTCAAGCCATGGAACAGTAGTATGATTTGTTTGTGATTGAACATATAGAGATTGCTCTGAGGATTTCTTGGTGATTTGAATGAAGTTTTTCACTTACATGGTTAGGTTTTTAGCTAAAGCCCTGAACAGGATTGTGATTTGCTTGTGTTCATTTAGTTATGTTTGTATAAGATTGTGTTTGAAGATGTGTGTGCTTGTTGGTGATTTTTGATCTTTGATGGTTACAACACTCAGGATTTTCGACTCAGTAGACCATGATTTCGACAAATTGGAAGTTTCGAGTGGATCGGATTTGAAAAACAAGCCTGATGGTTGGGAATCAACAACAAAAGAAGAAGATGGTAGGTAATCTCTGGGAAATGTCACAAAGAGAAGAAGACATTCTACTCCAAGAATTCGATCGCCGGATTGCCTTCTGCAAATTTCAGGTACCACCCAAATTTGCTAACATTGATGATAAAATCTTGGGACTTTAATGATTTCACCGTTGTTCTTGAAATACGATTGATGTGTACAGATAGCGAGTTTTATAAAGCAGCATATATTCAGTAGGGGAAGACCGATTGATGGATGGAGATATATGATAGAAGTGATTGGTCCAAATGCTAGAAAAGGGAAAGGAAGTGTTTCTAGGCTCCCGGCTTTATCGGATGTGTCGACACAGCCCTTTAAAGAAGAAACTGGCAGTCTTAGCACCTTCAAGCGTCGGTAGAACATAGAGATTATTGATGATACCTTGAGGAGTTTATGACAATAATAAGGTTAAGATTGTTTAAAGGATCTTCAAATTCTGACTCTGTTAAGGCCAATACTGTTTAGATCTTAAATTCGTATATATGAATCTAAAGTTGGTGAACTTAAAAGTTGTATGGTTTCTGTTTTTCAATTATCTTATTTTTGTAAATTGCGTGTAGTTTTCTAGAGGTGTTGCTAGAAAAGTTGGATATTTTTGGGTTGAATTTAACGCATGGTCAACAAGTTCGATAAAACAGCAAAACAATAATGTAAAAACAAAAAAGAGGGGGTAAAAAATGGAGATGCGGGGTATCGATCCGTACCTCTCGCATGCTAAGCGAGCGCTCTACCATCTGAGCTACATCCCCTGTTTGATAACATTGTTTTGCATATACTTATATATTAAGAAACATTAAGAGTAGATTCGTATACTATTTGGGGCCTTGTAAGAGGACATGTTCATTAGAAGAAGAGAGTCATCCTAATCACGCGCTTACAAAAAAGCTGTTTGAGAGTAATAAAACCCTAACATAATGGCCACCGCCGCTGTAAGAGTCCGCCGCCGTCGCCACCACCGTGAAGTTAAAGGAGGAGTTGACTCAATAAGCCTTTTACCAGATGTGATCCTCCAACATATCCTCTGCTTTCTTCCGACCGAATTCGCCATAAAAACTTGTGTCTTTTCCAAACGATGGAGGTATGTATGGCTGCTTCGATAAAACAAAACCCTAACTTGCTACACTGCTCCCAAATTATGAATTTTCATCTCGAAACAGTCATGGAGCGTAATGTTCCCCACATAGACAAGTGGATCGAGTTCGCAATGTCTCGCAACGTTGAGAATCTGTCCCTGGACTTGTGGGAAAATAAGTATACCATTCCTGATTTCTTCTACGCTCAAGCAACTCAGCCTTCACACGCACGGTTTTGATATGGTTCCAAGATGCTCTGTGTCTTGGACATCACTCAAGAAGCTGTCCTTGCGCGGGTGTTTTCTTTATGAAGAATCCATTGCTAAGATTATATCTGGTTGTCCGGTCCTCGAAAGCTTAAAATTGGATTTCGCCTTTTGATAAAGGTTCTTGATCTCAGCAAATCACTGCCTTTGAGAATATTAGAAATAGACCGCGACCTTTGTTGGGTTTTGGGGCCAATGCAGATTGTGGCACCACATATCCATTGTCTCATATTGAACGCCTCTTGGTTGCCGTGTATTTTAGTTGATGTCTCATCATTAACCGAAGCTAAACTGAACATTTCTTGTTCCTTTGTTAAAACAACCGAAGAGCTTGATTTACTTCAAGTTATGGTGCTACAGATGCTAGAAAAGATGGATAAGCTTAACTTTCTTCAGGTATTTTGGACTCTAATGGCTTACTTACTCATGTTGAATCAGTTGTTTTTTTCATTAGGCATTGACTTTATATAAGTTAAAGAACGTTTACAAATATAATTTTATGTGCATGCATACTTGTTTCTAAGCAATGTTTCTTATCTTGTTTTTTTGATAAAAGGTAAATATCATTTAGACAATGAAATGTTAGAGGTTACAAAAGTTACATCTAAATCTTACAATACCTTACCCAAAAAAAGAATAAAAAAGCAAGGTAGTATAAAGAAGTGTTAAGAACACAAAACTCATCTTAGCCAAAGCAACATAATGTTGTTAAAGTCACTGCGTTTCCTTCTTGCCATGATTGAATTCTTGACGTCCCGATAGATGGCTTGGAAGACCAGCATTGGAGGAATTGCCGTTTGATTATGAAGGACATTATTACGCTGCTTCCATAGGTGAAAAATAGTCGCTTGAGCCACAAGCTTCCTGAGCAGGGACGGCGCTGTAGGAGAAGAACCCCTAATCCAAGAAAGTAACTCTGACCAAGAGGTAAAACCATTAAACCATGGGTGCAATCCAGACAAAGCTCTGTTCCAAACCTCCACGCTAAAGTCGCATAAGAGGAGAAGGTGGTCCCTAGTCTCTTCAGTAGCAGAACATAAGCAACACTCTATAGGGACAGGTAAACCCCACGCGACTAACCTTGTTCTTGTTGGCAACCTATTGTAATTTGCCAGCCACAATGTGCAAGCAAACTTGGGGATGTGGCCTTTAAACCATATTAATTCCGACCAGCTCTTTGTATCATCCCTTGGTCGAAGTGCATCCCAAGTTGCTGCCGAGTTAAATTGTCTTCCACCCTGTCCCTCAATAACCCATTCATAGGAGTCCTCCGGCGCATGTGAATCCGGGATCCGGAGCGTAGTAAGGTGGAGCTGCAAGTTTAGGGAGTGCTCATCCCTCGGAGTCGCTAACTGCCAACAATTATTAACGACAATATCCGCAATCTTAGCATGTAAAGGAATGCGGAGATTACGCGGTCCCATGGGTCCAATGTAAGA